AGACTATGGTATCGGGCCCGTATTTTGGTTCCGGCGCCCGGTACAAGTCTTATATATGATTTAAGCACTTTCTGTAAAGTTCGGTTGAAAACGGACGTCGTTTGACGTGTTTCGGACTTAAAATGGAAATTTGATGTTTTATGAAAAACTTGGAAGAAATCATGAGTTTTGAGGCTTGATTCGATGTATATGATGTTGTTTTGGCGATTTGATCACACGGATAAGTCCGTAGGATGTTTTTGAGGTTGTGTGCATATTTGATTTGTAGCCCCGAGGGCTCGGGTGAGTTTTGGATAGGTGTCGGAGTGCATTTTGAACCTTGGGAAAATCTGATATTCCCAGTCCTGCAATCTTCGCATTTGCGAAGCAGGGCTCGCAAATGCGAGCTTGCCATTGCTAATGCGAAAAGGGGTCTAACCAGCTGGGATCGCAAATGCGACCTCTTGGTCCGCAAATGCGATGTCGGGCCTGTCGCAAATGCGACACATTGGCTCGCAAATGCGAAAATTCCCAGATCCTTCAGAGTTCGCAAATGCGAACTCACCTTCGCATTTTCCAAACCTGCAGGGTTCGCAAATGTGAACCCACCTTCGCATTTCCCACATCTGAGGCCTGCATATTTTACACTTAGCCGAATTTTTGAGCCATTTTAACATTCTTTCGAAACACAAACCTCTTTGGGTGATTTTCCAAGAACAAGACTTCTTCCAAATCATTTATAAGTTGGTTTTACTCATTTCTTTCAATCTTTAACATCATTTAACATGTTTTAAACTTAAAATCAAAGATTTCCATGGGTAAAATTGGGGGTTTTGGGTAGAACCTAGGTTTTTCTAAAATTGGGGATTTGGACCTCAATTTGAGGTCCGATTTCAAAACAAATCATATATTTGGGTTCGTGGGGGAATGGGTAACCGAGTTTTGGTTTGAACCTCGGGTTTTGACCACATGGGCCTGGGGGCGATTTTGGAATTTTGGGCAAAACTTTTAGAAATTTATTTTTTATACATTCAAATTGATTCATTTAGTGTTTATTAAAGTAATTAAGTGACTTGTGACTAGATTCGAGCGGATTGGAGGTGGAATCACGGGGTAAAGCTATAGTTGAGGCTTGAGTTTAGTTCAAAGCATCGAGGTAAGTGTTTGGTTTAACCCTAGCTTGAGGGATTAGGAGTTGAGTCATAATTGCTACTTGTTTTGTGTTGAATACGACGTATGGGCATGGTGACGAGTGTCCATGCGTCGGTGTCGAGCATGACCATGAGTCTTAATTTGATAATTGTGTACCCTTGTTTGATCCTATGAAAGTTGTGACTGAATATTGGTATTAGTTGTGCCAAGAAGAAGTTGAATAGGATTGGTTATAGCAGACTCTCCCTTGTCGGGATGTTTGACTTGTTGTGATTGTTTCCTTGCCGGGAAGAGTATTAATTTGATTGTTCCCTTGCTGGGATTGTATTGTGTATTGTGTTGAAAGAAAAGGGAGCGGGTGGTACGCCTACCACAAGTGATATTGAAATGGGAGTGGGTGGTACGCCTACCACAAGTGATAATAAAATGGGAGCGGGTGGTACGCCTACCACGAGTGATAATGAAATGGGAACGGGTGGTACGCCTACCACGAGTGATAATGAAATGGGAGCGGGTGGTACGCCTACCACGAGTGATAATGAAATGGGAGCGGGTGGTACGCCTACCACGAGTGATATTAAAATGGGAGCGGGTGGTACGCCTACCACGAGATATTGAGAAATGGGATCGGGTTGCACCCTTGCAACAAGATGAGTTGAATATGAAAGTTGCCTTATCATTTCATTTATTGCTAGAAGTTTAATTGTAGATGTACATGCTATTCTACCCGATATTTTATTTCTATCTGTTGCCCCTGAAGCATGCTCCCTTCCCAGCTTTAACTATTATTTCCTTGCTACTTTTCCGTTGTACTTGTATATATATCTGCACAGATTTATCTGGAGTCTGGTCCTAGCCTCGTCACTACCTCGCCGGGGTTAGGCCAGACATTTACCAGCACATGAGTTCGGTTGTGCTGATACTACACTCTGTGCTATTTTGCACAGATCCAGGTCTTGGACAGCAGCAGCAGCAGTAGTGTGGGGGCAGGCCTTCAATCCAGCGAGACCCGAGGTAGCCTTGCAGGCGTTCGCAGGCTCGGCGTCTCCTCTATCCTTTATTTTGTCTGTTATCTCATTGTATTCGAGACAAACAGTTTATGTTCTCTTTCGGACGTTTGTATTTAGTATTCTTAGCAGTTCGTGAGTATTGTGACACCAGTCTTGGGTAGAGGCTTTTGTTGAATTTTCCTCATTTCTATTCAGTTTCTATAATATTAAGACTTCCGCTTATTATTTTATTTCGCTGCTCTCGTATTATTATCTATAATTGATAAAAGGGATTAAGTTGTTAATGAAAAAGGAATTAAATTTGAGTTGCCTAGCTCTCATTAATAGGCGTCATCACAACTCTCGAGGGTGGAAAATTCGGGTCGTGATAATCCGTTGCATTTCTATTGATACAGGAAGTAACTATTGATTGAAACGACACAAAATAAAATAAATAAAATAAGAGAAAAGTTGGCTTGTTACTCCAGCTTGGAAGTTGTATTAATCCCAACATGTTAGCAGGAAACACAGCAAAGAAACGAAATAAATGGGCCCTCCCTGATTAATCGATAGGTACATTGCATTTGCCCACCAAATGAAATTAAGGTTGATGACCCAAGAAGACAAAGGAAAGTCAAAAGTCAAGTTTGACGCTTAAGAATTTTTTGGTTTATCCAAACGAGTCCCAAATGTTTTCGTTATAAAATGTTGATAGTTATGATTTATGACGTTTTTATGTTGGATTATCTACAGTACCTTGTGGCTGATGTGTGTGCTTCCGTCACTCGTTCCTTCATTAAGCACTATGTACCATTATTTTGCCCTAAAAATTTCATCCTCTAAATTCGGCACCTCAATCCCACGATGTCTCACCACGATATCAACTCCTTACCCACGAGCTCTTCTGCCCAAGATTCCAGAAACGTGATTTCACATTTTTATCAAATCAGTTCTACTTTTACAGTATATAGTTTTGTTCTTTCTCCAACGCGTGCATATCAAACAACAATTCTAAACTACAAGAGGTAATTTGTATGATTTGTATTTCATGAACAATCTTTATTCCATGATGGAATTATATTCCTTTAACAGATTAGTATTTGGATTTGAATTTCAAAAAAATAATAATATACAAACTGTGCAAACTAAAACTGCTTTTAATATTCATAACTCGATAGAGGCTAATTCGAAAATCGTTTTCAATTCTCAACATAACTCATCTTTTTTGGAACTCCCACAGTCTTACTTTTCATCTGACAATAACCACCATCAACACACTTCATCTTTCTTCCAAAGTCTCACAAAGGGCTTATTAAATCCTGCTTTTTGGATCCTTTTCCATGGAAAAAAAAAATCACTTTCCACATCAAGCGGATATCACAAACAGAATCATAAACAATGCTTAAAAACTTTGTTACGAAAGGTATGTTCTTTGATTACAACTAGCATCTCTGAAATACCTTTTATATATTGTTTTAGTTGCAAGCTATAAGTAATAAGACCATTAGAGTAAAAAATTTATTAATCGTTGATCTATTTTGTATATAAATGGGTAAAAAGATAATTTTGGCGATAATGATGGTATATAAAATTCAGGTATAAGTTATGAAGTCTTTATAGTGAAACATCTACCGTAAAAGAGTAAAAAAAAAAGTATCGTATAAATTTAGCTTCTAAAAGGACTTGATCAAATGAAGTTGCTTGGAGAAGTTCAACAGTAATCGAGTTCTTAGCATTACGTTCCAATTCAAAAGGTGAAAAGTGTAGAAGGGTAGATTCTTTCCAGTCGATAGTCAAGTACTGAGACTAATTTTTAAGATGATTGATTTATTCTTGAACTTATAGCCAAAATCACGAATTCCTTTGGTCTCGTGTACTGGATGCACTAGCAATTTTTGCCGATCTTTAAGGAAGTCTTGATCATCTACATATATGTTTAAACAAATCCTTTGTGAAGTACAATATTTTAGAAACGCTAAGTGAAATGTAACCATGAATTAATCTATGGGCTTGTGACATGGTTCAGTGACCAACATGCATATCTCTACTTAGATGTCGAAATAGTTAAGAGGCGAGAGAAGTAGAGAAGATATTCTCTTCGATTTAGTTCATTTCTTTATCGGGATATCGCAAAATTGAGGTTCGGCAGAGGTGGGAATCAGAGTTTGGGTTTTTAAGTATATGAGTAAACGTTATACATGCCTATCTATAGCC